TCCAAGTTTCAGCCAAATTTCAGAATGTGTACATGGATAACAGTGACGATAACACCAAGATTTAACTTATGGATTTACCTTACTAGCTGATGTGCATGTGGATGAGCAGACTGCATTTGGTATTGGGTGCAATTACAAGAATTTCCATTTTGTCTTTTTAAGTTTTACTGAAATGAGGTAAACGGTGCTAGAGAGTTCTGTAGACCTAGACCGGGGGTGTCCAACCCCAGGCCTCGAGGGCCAGTGTCCTGCAGGTTTTAGAACTCACCCTGGGTCAACACACCTAAACCAAATTATTATTTCATTAACAGGCCTCTGGAGAACTTCAAGACATGTTAAAGAGGTAATTTAGCCATTTGAATCAGCTGTGTTGGATCAAGGACACATCTAAAACCTGCAGGACACCGGCCCTCGAGGTCTTTAGTTGCCCCACCCCTTCTCTAGGCTGACGAGGCAGGGAAGCCAAATCTAAGGACAAAGAGCAAGTGAGCAAGTCTTCAGTCAAATGAAGAGAAACTCTAGAGCACAACGAAACTTTGAAATACTGCACTGACAATGAAATAGAGAGGAACCCCCAACCCGACTTCACAATTCAGGGTGAAAAGAAAAAATAATTGTCAAATCAACATATGTGAATTCATTTATTCATTGATGAAAGCTCTTGAATAAGGGAGCAACCAAAAGTAACTTTTTAGTATACCACAAATGTTAACAGTTCAGGTCTTCAATTGAGGCCTCGGGGAAACTGCAATGACACTACTCATAACAGGTCAAAACTATATCTATATACTATCTTCTGTCCAGATTCAGGTCTTATTTGGTTATTGCCTTCTTTTTAGTCAGAATGTTGTTATATTTGTTTTTGACAAACAACTTCACATCGACATGCTAATGCTTAGTATTGTTGTTTACTGTGAGTGATACATTTTCTTTGTTCGTTATTTAAAAAAATTAAATACTCAATGGTACTTTCTTCCTTGATCAGGTATGAAGACTTGGCCAGGTTTCCTCTTCAAAAGACAAAGGAGCTCTATAGCTTCCTTGGTTTAGTTCTAGACCACAATGTGGTAGACTGGATCATCAACAACACTCGGGGCAGCAGTGGTCTGTCATCCTGGCAGAAATTCACCACAGTTCGGGATTCTGCAGCGAATGCTGAGAACTGGAGGGTTAAGCTGTCTTTTGATATGGTGGTTTACACGCAGACTGTCTGTCAACCACTTCTGGGGCTCCTTGGATACAAGACCATCTTCCATCCCAGGGAACTGAGAAATCTTTCACACTCTTTGGTGGAGGACCGGACGTTCCTCCCTTTTTTTTAAATGAATGACAAATATAGTTAACTGAGGTTTAGAAAACCAGCAAGACTTGACAGAACTGTTGTAAGGGAGAGACTGTGTGTCTGTCACAGCTGTGGTCACTCTTGTCTGTGATGGTGGAACAGTTATCCCTAGATCTATTCAAAACTAAAAGTTCAATAAAACAATCAGAAATGCTCTCCTTTACATTAGTGTTTTCTAGTGACCTGGAGAGACTGCCTAATTTATTGATTTATTAATCTGACTGATTTTCTTTATTATTTTTCATTTAACTGCTGAGCCATTACCTACCTCAGTTACAGCTACCGCATCAAAACCCCCAAAATACTGTTTGGAATATATTGGCTTCATTGTGGCAAAAATAATACAGCTAGATAATTTAATCGACAAATGTGTAGGCTGTTTGTACCTGGTTACTTATTGTGTTTAGCCCTTAATCATATTTTTTACAGTCACATGGTCATGATCACTGCAGTGTGATGGTGAACAGATGGGACTTCTCTATCATGTGGACATTTTCATTTGTTTTGTTTACCTGTTTAGAGCCTTGATTTATTTTGGCAGTGGTGGGACTTCTATTTTTGAGCCTTGGTCACATCAGCTGAAGGTTCTGGCATGCACACTAAATTTCTTTGTCAATTGCTATCTTTAGACAAAAACGTTAGAAAAGTTTTGAACAATGCCAAAGAAAAATAGCTCTAGAAATAATATGGAATTCCTGCCCAAGAGTTAGGATCTATTGGTCAAAACTGATTTTACTATTCTTTATATTTTCATCAGTGTTTACCTGTTTAGAGCTTTGCTCTGCAGCTACAAATGGCTGATAGCTTTTAAGAAGGCCTTGGTTGCTAATGACCTGAAGTGTGCATTTGAGGGTTAAGGGGTCAGTCTCTTAAACCATTCTTCTTAATAATGTCCATGCTGTTATAAATGTATATTCTTAGTTTGATTGGTTTATACAGAGCAACATTTTTACCATGCACATTTTGAAGGACAGTGCTGCAACACACATCAACTTTTTTCCCCTTGTTATTAAAAATCTCAAAATATGATCGATTTTTGATCTTAAAATGTCAAAATATTCTCACTCATTAATAATGTCAGTCTTCTCACTAGATAAGTTGTCGTACAACAGTTTGTATATACAACAATAGCTTGAATGTGCCACATGTCACATTTCCCACATTCACTACACACTAGACACAGATTCTACATTTAATTTCCAATCAATTGTTACAATTACCTTGAATTAATGTAAGAAGTCATTGTTTGTGCAGCTACAAACTATTTTAATAGTTTTTAAGTTTTAAATTAAACATGTTTGGATTTTCTGGAATAAGAAGCCTCATTCTTGTTTCAATCACATGACAACCTCTTAAAAGTAATCCAGTACAAGTTCAGATGACTCTTGTAGCATATTTCTGATTTGTTTCCACAAGAATATTTTTCTGGATTTCAAATCTGCTTGTAATTTTACAGTAATAGTATATATTGCAAGAAGTGGATATGGCAGGTTAGGTACTACATTAAACCAAAGATGGCTAATGTCCTTATTTTTAGAGCATTAACTGTCTTCACATTCTTATAGATCCTTTAAATGAAAGTTTGCACTTCTGTACCCAAATCTGGAAATAAAACTTGCGTCAAATCAAAGCATGTAAATATGTTATCAGTTCTTCTAACCGATGGGTTCTCATTAGATATTGATTGTGCTTAAAATAAAATGCTAAAATTTCCAACAATTAATGTGAAAATTGATGTAAAAAACCAAAAAGTTTTGTTAGCCCTGCGTCAAGCTGGCAACCTGTCCAGGGTGTACCCCACCTCTCGCCCTATGGTAGCTGGGATGGGCTCTAGCCCCTGACAACCCTGACAAGGATAAGCGGAAGAGAATGCAAGTTTGTTTTAATGTGGACATGAAACAATACATGTATAAAGGCTAATTTACACCATGAGCTCTTCATCTTGAAAACAGTCACTGATTTAAATTTATCTATGAAGCTGGATTTTAGGAAATAAATCTTCAGGTTAGAGCCAATCTTGTGCTGGTATGAACATCACTGGGTTGGTTGGTTGGTTGCTGATAGACTGATAGACAGCCTAAGGGAGACACTTTTGTACTCCTCCTGGTTGCAACAATAAGCGATGAGAAACCAAGGATATACTGTGCACTTTCACTCTGTCTCTTTAGCAGTAGGTGGTTCTTGGTTGTTTGCTAGCTGCATAATGGCAAAACCTACACACTGAACCTTCAAACAGCATTTCACATAGGCCAACTGTCCCAGACTACATACTTGACATGCAGAATGTGGTAAATGGGAATGGAACCACTAGCTTTCCAACTGGTAGATAACCCATTCTAGCTCCTACACCACAGCTGCCCTATATTAAAACATGGATGGCAAAAAACATTTAAAACCTCAAACACCACATAACAGATATTTTAATTATTAGTACTGAAGCCCAGAGAAAGAAACTGTCAGAACACCTACAATCACTGGCAATACAAACCTCCAAACAGTAGGCGTCATCTTTGACAAGGATGATATGTGATATGATATGATATATATCATATCATATCATATCACAAGGATCTTATTTTTGAGCAACACAGACGTTTAACTGAAACTAAGACAGAAATGTAACTAAGGATTTAGATCACCTTAAGGTTATTGCCAGAGTACAGTTCCCCTCTCTCTAGCTGATGCAGAGACATTACATGCTTTTATTTCCCCTAAAATTGATTACTGTCATGCTTCACTTTCTGATGGTGGATACAAGACGTGGAAATGGGCTTCCTCCAAAGGGTGGCTGACTCTCCCTTAGAGATAGGGTGAGAAGTTTGGCCATCTAGGAGGGGCTCAGAGTAGAGCCGCTGCTCCTTCACATCGAAAGGAGCCAGTTGAGGTGGTACGTGCATCTGACAAGGATGTGTCCTGGGAGCCTCCTGGGTGAGGTGTTTTGGGCTTGTCCCACCGGGCAGACCCAGGACACACTGAATAGATTATATCTCTCGGCTGGCCTGGGAACTCCTTGGTGTTCCCCCGGGCAAGCTGGAGGAGGTGGCTGGGGAGAGGGAGGTCTGGGCTTCTCTGCTCAGGCCGCTGCCCCCGCGACCCGGCCCCCGGATAAGCGGAAGAAGGTGGATGGATGGTTTGATCCCTGCTGCGTCAGTCTGCATGCCAAATTATTCTTGGGCAAGATACTGAACCAGTGCTTTCAGTGGGGTGTGAATGTATATGAATGTTAGAATGTTAGTGTGACCGAAAGCACTTATGTGTAGAAAAAAAAAGTCCTTGTATGAATGGGTGAATGAGGCACGTTGTATATGGAACTCAAGTATCTTCTTATACACAGATTGAGAACAGGGAAGAAGAAATAATTATCACTGGGTTGGAGATCCAGGGGTTAACAGCAAAACACAGCTGGATTATGTATTCACTACAAGCAGCCAGAATCTGTCCAGCTTGTGATGCTAAGAGCAATCTTCCTGCAGAGCTTTTGTTTCAAGTCTTTGGCCAGCTAGTGACATCTATGAAGCACACAGATTTATTACAGGGGTTTGTTTCGTTCCGTTTTCCCCGCCTGTCTTCTGTGCCACATTTCAGTCCAGTAGGTGGCGCATATGTTCCTTAAGCTAGTTTACCAACCGCCATTAAACCAGAAGAAGAAGAAAAACCGCCGAAGAAGAAGAAACAGAAGTCATTTTGTATTTTCGTTCGTTTAACATGTTTCAGGTGTTCAGTTTATTTATGCCCGTCACAGAGTTTTAAGGGTAACGTTTGTACTTTGCATCGTTAGCGAGGAGGTACTTATTAGTAGTGACAGCATGATGAACTATTCCGACTATGACTCTGATGGATATTCGTCGAATGAAGATGCAGACTATGTCCCATCAGGTGAGGACTGTAAACACTATGGGGAGGTTTCTGCCATTCAGTGAAGAAAAAGAAGAAGAACCTTAAGTATCATTAACTGAACGACAGGCAGAAACATGGTTACTGACACTGGTGGCTATTGATGGCTCTCTTTCCCTGTTTTGAAATAAAGCATGTTAAAGTCTGCTGAGAAATTCTTCGAAAGCTACGAGTGTTTTTTGATTAGTTTCCCTTCAACTGTTTTCACATCAAATCAAATTCAGATCCAGACGCAAACACTCACAAAATAATGCACACAGTCTGAGTAGCACGTGCAATAGTACTATACAGTAGTTACAAAAAGCGCCTTACTCACCCTCTTCAGTACTTGTGATTTGGAGCCCTAAAACGTGGAGTTGACATCGCCATGGCATCTTAATAAAAGCCTGGATTATTGTAGACTTTCTAGCAGAAAAGCTCAGACTGCAGCTGTTAATCTGGAAGCTCAGTCAGGTGTGAGATTATACAGTCCAAACAGGCAGATGCAGTCCTGATATACCAAGATGAAGCCTGAGTTCTCTTGGTGATATGGTTCAAGTCATAATCTTCACTTAAAAAATAGTGCTAATCAGTCAAATCAGCTGTGTCAAAACATACTGAGTTAACTCTTCATTGTTAGCTTTAAATGCAGTTTCACATCCACATTGATTAAAAAGCATGATGAAATGATGCCCTCTTAGTACAGTTAAGTTGATTTGATTATTCTTGATATTGATCTTGTTATGCATCATTTACACTGCTTCCTGTACTTTTTCACCTCAGATGATAACCTCAGCGAGGATGACATAAATGAGTGTGAGAAGGAGGAGCCTCTTCGTGAGGATGACAGTGTGCCCCATTCTGAGCTCATCAGCAAGAAAAAAAAGAAAAAGGACATCAGTGTGAGGTAAGAGGTTTCGACAGCACCGTTCAATGAGAGGACAGTGTTTCCAAATGGAGAAAATGTAGTTAAATCTGTTTGTGTTCTCTGGTGGCGGGAACACTGGAACATTTTCATTGTTTGAAAGTAAAACTTTTTATGGCTTCATAAAATATACTACAGTTGATGTCCAAAAAAAGAAAATGTCATCAGATCCTCATGATCTTGAGTTTTAGTCGCTGGTATCCCTTAAAACATTCACAGAAAGAGGAAGAAGAGATTACTGAAAGTAGACGACAAAGATGAAGATGTTGGTGGAGCTAAAGAGGCGGATAACCCACAAGAAGAAGTGAAAACACCCACTAAGGCAAAGGCTCAGGATGATGAAGCAAAACAGAAGAAAAAGTCAGATGAACTTTGGGCCAGTTTCTTATCTGACGTTGGATCCAGACCCAAAGAGTCTGCACCACAGTCGGGTACCGCACAGAAGGTAAATATCTTTGAAACTTCGATATTTCCTTTTGCCAGGTTTTTTAAATGTGTTCTAATTTAAAGCTTGGACATTGCTTTGATTTGCATAAACCACCTTTGAGACATGCACACTTTTAGTCATTTTATGTCTAAAATATCTGTGTGTGGGAGTTTTCAAATTGAAGCTGAGCTGAACAGACTTTGATTCGATGCCAATTTGCACCACAAGATGGTGCAGTAACTCAAGTTGGCACTAGTCTTGCCCAACAGCAAAGGAAGATGAAATCAGGGGAGAGACAGTTGTGGGCTCTGTAGTTTGGGCACTGTGAGGCTGCTGTTTTGATCTGGTCTCTAACTGGGAAAACAACTTGCAAAATATCGAGTTGATTAAACTCACACTGGAGCATTGTTGTGTTGAACAGCATTGTTCTCTGTGTGTCTGTTTTCTATATACTTACTTTCTAGTATCGTTCTTTTGTTTTTGTCTTCAGGATGATTCCACAGTTTCCAAGACTGTTTCTATGGTGACTGAAACGAAGCCGTCAGGTCCCGCTAAAGTCACCATCACCAAAGTTTTTGACTTTGCAGGCGAGGAAGTTCGGTAAGCTTCTGTTTTAAAAGCATTTGCACACTAATCAGCAGGTGGACACACACCATCTGGTCTGATGGCAGTGCAGTAGGTGGATGTCTCAGTCGGTAAGAACAGGACCATTTGTGAATGAGCATCAGCTAAACTCTTATCATGTCCACACAGTCACAAAGCAGAAGCTGTGACTTTCCAGAGATGTGCTTAGTTTCTGACACTAGTAAAACTTGAAAATACTGTTATTTAAATGAAGAAGTGTGGTACAAAGATTATTTGTTTTTGTTTTTTTTAAGCAGTGGTTATTTGTGAACAGTAGCATTTCAGCATTATGCCTTAATCTGGTTATCATCATATTAATGCAACATTTCAAAGTGATAGGGAGCCCTGAGGCCTGCATTGTGAAGCAGTATTTGTAGTTAGTAAGGTGACTTCAGTTTTGACCCCAGAGTTTTAAAGGCTATATTGCTATGGTAACATCACAGCACACCTAAATAGCACCCGATACCACGATATGTTCGAGATATTAAGGAGTTCTCTTGAAAATGATATTCCTAGAATACCGTTGACCTCAACTGCAGACAATTGAAGGATTTCAAGTTTCTTTACTTTAATGAATATGAAGAAAATTGGCTTAGAAAACACAGTTTTGTTGGGCTGCATCATTGTGCTGTTGGATGTCCTTTCGTGATAGAGAGAGGAACCTGCAGCTTGACCATAAATTATATGCTGACTGAGTCATGGAATAAATAAAAGCTGCTTTGGCTGGATTTTTTGATACTTTCATCTGTACACAGGCTCCAAATGCTTATAGTTCTTACAGTCTTTTGGGGGGTTGTTAAGCAGCAAATATGAAACCCTCCTGCTGTTGGCCCTGTTTACTCTATTCAGTTTTGACACAGACATCTTGTTTATGTGTCTCCAGTTGCTTAGAGGCATTATGGTCATGAAAGCGTGCCTCGGACTCATGGAAAGGTTAGTTTTGTGTTTGTGCACTCTGGTGAAACTCAACTACAGTGGTGTGTGACGTGATGGCAAAGTGTACTGTAGTCCTAAGTCTTTAAACAGGCAGTGGAAGACTTGATTTTCAATGACTTTCAATCAGAATCATGGATTTGAGAACATTTTCTGTTGTTATTCCTGCTTTCAGCCAACCCCTGAGAATTTTCTAGCATCTGTGCTGCGCAAGTACTCATGGAACTTCTAAAGTGCATCATTTAACTCCCTGTCCATCTAGCACAGTATGGGCTGATGGTAGTATGCTTACATGCCTAAAATTTAAGCCCATTTTGTGCACAAAGATTGGAGGAAGATCCTATATCATAAATTACTCACAGACAGATTCCTTTAGCCTGCATTTATGTGACTGCATTGTTGAGTCTATATGTAATACCTGGTTTATCCAGCAGTTATTATGTTGAAGAACACGGTGCAAGTCTTTGCTCTACATGTTTCTCTTGTATGCATGAGTCTAATCTCACTGTATCACACACTACCTACAAGTTTAACATGGAACTCCCTCTGTTTTTGTTGTTTAATGATGTTTAATGGAAACGTGGATACTGAAGCAGTTTTTATCTGTCTGCATGTTTTTTTAATACAGTTTAACAGAATACACATTTGTCTCAATCTTTCAGGGTGAATAAAGAGGTTTCAGCTGACTCCAGGGAAGCAAAGAGTTATCTCAAGAGCCAGAGCATCAAAGAGGACGAGAAGAGCGACAAAGAGAAGATGTCATCACCCTGCTCTCCACCGCTCCCTGGTTCCAGGTACACAAATACTCCTCTAGGATTATTACTACTGCAGGATTACTAAACCATTTCCATGTCATTGGATATTTAGTACCAGTGCACGAGCATGGTTGTTGCTTAAAAAAATGCTGAAAAATCAAGATCGGTTTGAAGAAATAAATGCTAATAATTTGTACTGTAAAACTGCACAGTCGGTGTGGATGGTTGCATTAAGAATAGGTGAGTCCAAAAAAATCTAGTGTGTAAAGGCCTTAAGGAGTGGAAAAAACCAGAGTGGAAAATAAATTGTCAGTCCATAATGGGGAGTCCCCCAGCAGCCTGAGCCTATACCGGTATAAAGGAGGATTCTGTACCACCTGAATCCAGGCTTAAGTGCTCTGCTTTATCAAAAAGGAAAGTTTTAAGTCTAATCTTACAAGTAGAGAGGGTGTCTGTCTCCTAAATCCAAAGTGGGAGCTGGTTTCATAGGAGTGGCGCCTGATGGCTGAACACTCTGTGTACCATTCCACTTTTAAATATCCTAGGAACCACAGGTAAGCCCACAGTCTGAGAGCGACGTTTTCTATTAGTATAATAAAAAACTGTTGTCTTGTTTTTAAGAATTGTGATATAGCAAGATATTGTTTAGGTTTGGTGACTTTTCTCATATTATATACATTCTGGTCCCGTGTCACCTTTCGGCATCACATTCCTTGTTGCTGATCAGTTTTTATCCCTCAGCCACAAAAGGCTCATGGAGTATTATTGTCACCCGGCGGGTGACGTGGATGCCCAAGTTTGTGAATGTGATAACTCGAGAACCAGGCAACGTAGGACTCTCAAATTGACACCATGGCTGCCTCTTCTAAAAATCTTGGGCGAGCTTGAATCTCAGTGACCTTGAACTCAAGGTCAGAGGTCAAGTTATCTGAGAATCTTGTGAATGCGTTAACTCAAAAAGGAAGTCACCTAGGACTTTCAAATTGATAATACACGTGTGTCTGCTAAGATCCTGAGGAGTAGCACTGGTGTTCGCCAGGAATTTTGACGGAGTCTTCACACTCTGGTGAGACTGGTTTGTCCCAGCGCACCCTTTGAGTGAAACAGGAGACCTTATACGTGCTGTCATCCCACCAACACTCTTCTGCGTAATCAGTCTAGCTCTGGTCATATTTGCGTATCCACAGATCATCATCATTATTTAAAAATCACTAAAGCTCCCAAGACCTCAAGCCTGTGCAGACTTGATCCAGTGAGAGCACAGACAGCTCCTGTGACCTGTATGCAACAGATTTTGTTGCATGTCAAACACACATCTGGAGTAGCACTAGTGCCAGCTGTGCTTCACCTCACCCCATTCAGATAACAGTGAAATTAGCTACACTATCACGCTGTATGCTCTGCAATGCATTTCTGCTTTTTTCCATTTGCAACTTCCAATACAATAGTATTTCCAATACTTTTTGTTGCCACGGTAATAAGTCAGCTAAGGATGTGCACATCTTCCACCCCAGACAAGCAACTGCAGACAGGACACAGGAAATCATCTTCCAGCTTACAGGAAGTATGGTGCTTTACAAGCCATTGCCTGTTTATCTCAGTTCTCTGTGTGTGTGTGTCTGTGTGTGTGTGTGTGTGTCTGTCTGTGAGTGTGAGTGTGTGTGTGTGTGTGTGTGAGTGTGTGAAAGGGAACACAACAGGAAAGACCC